CCACTACCATTTTTTATTTTATTTTGGTAGAGAGAGATTGCAATTCGGGCCATTCTACAAGAGTGAGGATGGGATAGGTGCCCAGCTGCCCACCCCTTCAACATGCAAACTGACTGTTGGGTGGGCATACATCTGAGCTGGGGCTCACTGAGTTTAATGAGACTAACACCCAAGTAAGTGTGCATAGGATTGCATCATTACATGGACAACACTGAGGAGAAGGGCACAACTAAATATTTTTCCTTTGGTGTTGGATAAAAATAACAGCAACAATAGGTTGTATCCCATGAAGTTGTCCCATTTATGCAAGGACTTCCACCTGAATAGAACTCCTTCTTCCTTCCCCTCTAGATCTGTTCTGGGTGTAGCCCCAGCCCTCCAGAGCAGATGGGGGGGCATGGGAATCACACAGGGATAGGGATTATTGTTGTGCAAGCAGAAATCCTATTGCTAAGGTGATGCCTTGGACAGATGCAACCTAATAATAATAATGGTAATAATCTATATAAAACAATGGCCCTTGAAATCTCTTCCAAGTTACAATAAAAGCTATGCCATAGCAGTAGAAACCGACGAAACAATAAAAAGTATATGTTCCTTACAGAACACTAATGCTACATTTGTTCATGAACTTGATAGGGTTTCTGTTTTTGGATAGTAGGCGTAAAACAGTGCAAAGTATATTGAAGTTCAATCTTACAGTATTTCATCACCAAAAACATAGCAGAAAGAGAAGAAAGGCCCTTTTGTTACTGAGAGTATGTGAAGAGAAAAATCAGAATAGCTCTGAAAAAAGCTCTGTAGATAGTATGCAGATGCTTGTGAAAACAAACAGCATTTGGAAAGTATTTGTGATGATGGCAAGTAAAAAGGACATTTTCAAAGAGTGTATCACAAGAATTCTGCAAGGGTTGATCTACACATACAGATTTCTGTGACCATAAAGTTGATAGTTTGAGGTACTTCTCCATAATGATGCACAAGCAGCTTACAGTTGTTCAGTACCATAAACATCAACTTGTGACAAGTACCCATTTTTTAAAAATGGAACAGGATATTGAAGAAAACCCTAGATAATATCTGGGTTACTACTACTGGTTGGAAAGTCTATGTGTGGTAGTTTTGAAGCAACTTATCCACCTGTTCTTCCCCCTCCATGTGATAGAAACAGGAGAGATGATATCAAAGGAGATGATACCAAACCACCTTGTTTCCCTCCATCTTTATTTTAGCCTGTCCTTCACATGACCTGTGAATGCTGCCTAAAACAATCAAAGTTGTGTTACTTCCTGTCCTAAAATTAAAAGCGGGGAAGAGGGATAGAAAGAGCAGCAACAGCAGAGCAGGAGGGCAGGTTTACTTGCGGCCTACTTTATGAAACAGTTGGGGTAGACAAGGAAGGAGGCTTACTTGGACCTCAACCATTTCCTACCACTGCAGCAGGGATAGGGAACTCCCATCAGCCCTAGCCATCATGGGCTCGGGCCCCATACACCAGGGATCTATGGGAGTCCAACAAGTGCACCACAAATTCCTCACTCCTGCTCTACAGAATTGCCCACCACCACCATTAGTTATCAATCATATCCACCAGTAGAGTATAACTTTAAACACCCAAATGTCCTTTTAAAAAAAGCCAATTTGGTTTATTAAAGTGATAACAGACATATCCAAGGTGCAACTGTGCATACTATGGGTAGGATCTGGAGTCCTGTTGATCTCAGTCCTATTGATTAGTCATGACTAATGCTCCACATTTGATTTCATGTTGTTGGGACCGAAGTGTGACTAACTTAATCCCCATTCAGGCATTGTCACTTTTTGTGTTCAAAGAACATTGGGGGTGGGGGTGGGGTGGGGTGGGCGCTTGGGAAGCAAGGCATGTTGGTCCTGCCCCCAATGTCACCATCACCCCTAACCTCTGTGCATTAAGCATGAAGGTCTAAAGGAGATGAAAACATGCTTAAAATCATCCCGGCAGTTTCAGGTTCTGCATAATCCAGGGTTGCAACTGCAGAGAAGTATCTAAACATGTATTGCTGAATGTATTTGGAATATCCCTTGCAAATGCACAAAGGCTTAGAGCAGATATTGGGACCAGGGACTCCCCCTCCATGTACTCTTCAAACATGGTCACTTCTAATGCCTAAATAGGGCTTCAGCCTGGATCCAAACCACTGTGTATACAGTTGACTTGCAACTTATGCAGGAGTTATGTTCTGGGGATAGCTTGTAAAGCCAAAATCATGGATAGTCAAAGCACACTCTCCCAGCACCTCCAAATACTCTTCCAATGTGCATGCAAATGGTGGGTGGGATGGTGATAGTTCCTCGCCCCTGGTTAAATTTTTATTTTTTTCAGCCGTTAAATGTGCATAAGATGCAAGTTGACTGTACCATGATTGGTTTTGGAAATGATGGAAGCTGGAAATGAAGCCCATACATAGATTTTATATTGGACATTTGGCAAATAAATGTGATCAGCAAAAGGGCCAAATCAATTTAGGCAATTGATTTGCAGAAAGAAGAATCAACCTGAAGTCCTCACACCAATAGATCACCTTTATATCAAGCTCTGCACTTGTCTACCTCTTTCTATCTCATGGCAAGACCGGCTTTGAAAGAGGGCTGCTTCATGCCTGACATTTTTCCTGCATGGAGATAAATCTCTATCACACCTGAAGCGAGGCACAAGAGTTTAGGGTTTCACAAACAGCAGGCTCTGGTGAGTTACTGCAGTTACTGCTGCACAAATGTTTTAATTTTGGAGTTTCTTTCAATGCTTCTCCTGAATATAAGGATTCACTGACCTTTCCACACATCTATTGCAATGACTGGTGTGCTTGTGTGGAATGCCGTCAGCAGTCAACATAAGAATGTTTTAAGCCATCATAAACTAACACGGGAGAACAGAGCTCCACAAGTTTCAACTTTTTAATTTCAAATTCAGGAGACAACAAAGCTTGGCTTGCTGACTTCCTGCTACATTGAAGCAAAACAGATTTTAGCCCTCCAACTTACAACACTGAATCTGCATCCCAGAACAAGATGCATCCTGGTACCATTTTGAAAGAAAGACTTTTTGCCTTCCTGAATGGATGGCCACTTTCTTTTCTTTTCTTTCTCTCCCCGCCCCCTCCCAAATGTGCTACTCTTTGAAGGCTTTACATTTCTGGTTGCCTGAACTTCAGTGTGCCCCAACTTCTAATGATCTGAATTCACACTGTAGCTTCATAAATGCTTATGCTAAGCTCTTGTTGCATCCAAACATCTGATTATGAATCCTCCAGGTCAATCACATCAATGAAGTTAAGCTGAAATACAATAAAGTGTCAAAGAGTTGCCCCTTTGATATAGCAGAGCAAAGCTATATCAACGCCCTAGAGGCTAAAGTGCCAAATTAAAGGCCAAACTTGGTGTGATGGTTAATGCATCTTTGTATGTGTGTGTGTTAAAGCAAGCAGGGATTGTTGGACTGATAATTATTGGGAATTTCCTAATGCAAATAGCAGATCCAGAGAAATAAACTTTGACAGGGCCACAGTAGGGAAGAGAGATAGAACTCCTCTTTCCCAGTTGCTACAATCCCAATACTTATCAGATCCATTCTCTGGGGCTGCATTTTTTAAAAAGCCCCCCCCCCCAAGCCTACACACTTTAAATGCAAAGGTGCATTTAATAACACAGCACACATTGGGCCCAAACACAAGTTACTTTACACATTTCAGTTTCACATTTACACATAAGACATCTTGACGTACACCAGCATTTCTTAAACTTTGGGGAAAGGGTGTGAGAAATCACAGGAGCAGATGGGGTTTGCCAGATGGCCATCCGTGGCTAAGCAGCTCCTGTTTTCCTTGGCTGAATGGCTAACTGGGGGGCAGACCAACCTTTCCAGCTGGGTTGCATAAGGGAGAGAAGGCGAAAAGCTCTTGTTTACACTAAATCTTCCCTTGCAGCTCTGCACCTCAGTTGCACGGCTGGCATTCTTCTGGCTCTCAGGCCCAGATTCAACCCAGCAAACAGGGACAACCCAATGGAGAACAGGGGCTGCATCCAATGTTCTCTGTGTATTAGGGCAAGGGCTCATGCACTAGCAGGTGGGCGAGTTTTCACATTGCACAACAGAGGAATCTGTTGAGCTCAAGGAAACTCATTGCACAACAGATTGCACAATCTATTTTACAGAGAAGTTACCAGCAACCTGTTTATGTAGTTTTTGGGTGCAACTGCATTTCTTTCCTGCCAAACATTTCACCAGTGGAACAAATATACCGCAAAGTGACTTTAGCACTATATTGGATACAACCCCCATTCAGTGTTGGTATGCACCCCAGCTTCCTGAGCACAATTGGAAGGAGACTGCAGTGGGGGGCGGTGGCGCGGATTGGTGATTCTTGGAAGTGCTGATGCTCATGTGAACTTCCTCGAGGAGGCTCTTTGAATCCCACTCTGTATTGGGACCACAGAATGTACAGTACATTCAGAAAGGGGGCGGATTTTAAGAAATACTAGTGTACATGTAAAAATACTGTATGACTGTTAGGCACACTCATTAGGGAGCTGTGATAGACTGCAGTTCCCAATACAAGATTCACCCAGTGACAAACCTGTTTTTGCCTCTATGTAATATATAAAATTTTCACCACTTAGAGGCGAGTTCACAAGAAAGGAAAGTACAACAGAAAGCTTTATGTTGACACAATTTGTGCTATCATGAGCATTATGTTGCTTTCAAGACCTTAAACCCACCTATACTTGTGTCCTTCTGAATGCCTTGTTCAAACAAAGAAAGAAATGACATCTTTTCATGACATCTTTAACAAGTATTCAAGTGAAAGGTAAGTTAAGAATGAGAATTAATGGTATTATTAGAAATACAATGGATCAAAACGCAAAAATCTGATTGCAGGTCATCAGCTAGACCCAAACCTTTTGTAGCATATAGACATGGTGAGCTTGTTGTGAAGCTGGTCATCAAGAATCCACTGTTCAAGCTAGGGTGTAAGTGGTGGTTTTGGTGATGAGCAAGATCCTTGACTGTCAAAACTGGTTGCTCGGCCTGGCAACTAGAAGAAATAAAATATTTTAAGAAGAGTCCTGTTGCATCCAGGGGTCCATCAAGTCCAGCATCCTGTTTCTTATAATGGCCAACCAGTTTCCTCACAGAAGTCCACAAGAGCCCTCCCCCCACTTTTCTCCCCAGCTACTATCATTCAAAGGACTACTAGTTCCACCTTGCCATTGTGATCAACAGCCATTGACAGACCCATCTTACCCCATGAAGAGATCTAATTCCCCTCTAAAGTCATCTAAGATAGAGGCCACCACCACATCTTGTGGCACCAGATTTAATCAAGATTGAATTATTGCCAATTGTTCAACATGAGAGAGCACTGGAGAGTCTTCTAGAAGCGTCTGTTGGTCCAAAAAGAAGATATATTTACTGGATTTGAATATTAAATGGTGCATTATCGTGGGGTCAGAGAAGACTGGTGGTGGAGCTGACATCTAAAACTGGAGATCTGGAGGATGCCCTGGGCATTTTTACAAAAGTACCATCTCCTATACTCATGAGCCCCAGGTGTGCATAGCAATTTTGCAGTTATGTGTGGTTAGTTTACCTCATCATCTATATAGATTAGCCAAGTGGCTATTTTTGTGTGTGTGGCAAATTGCGTGTTAAAAATGTCTCGACTAATGAGGAAGACTCACTGGGTTGCAATGTGTCTGGTCTTAAACATTATAAATTTATTGCTTGTCACATCAGTTTGATGTTCAGGCATTATCCTGGATAGATGTGGTTGTATATTACTGTATCTTGGCCATTTTATTTATAGTTTCTTTACATGTTTACATTGTCTTTTGGGATTAAAGTTGGATTTCACTCTGGCACATATTTTAGAAGCATCCAGTAATATTTTTTGTCCTCATTTTAGTCCATTCTACAGTGGGGTTAATGCCATATGCCTCTCCCAACAGAGCAAATGGCATTTAATTTGGGGGAAATGGTGTTTGCATTGATAAAATGTTTTCAAAAACTTTCCTGTAATTCTGATCCTATTCAGCTTTTTTTTTTTTTTTTTAGAAAAGAAGGGAAAAGAAACAGCAGGGAATTCAGTCCCAGATTTTCTGGTTTTGTTTTTGTCTGAAATACACCAGTATGAATGTTGTTAACAGGTGGCATAGAATGTAAAAGAAAGCCATTGAAAAATTGAACTTGCATTCTCTTCTACAGGGTTTTTCAAATAATTTAATGAAATGCCTAATACAAAACAGGGCTTCTCGACTTTGTTTGGTAGAAAAGATTTTTAGTATCTTCTTTCGTACGTTGTTCTGCACTTAACCTCTTTTTTTTTTTTTTGGTCTCCCTTCACATTTCTATTTGACAAAAATGCTGCCTCACGAAATAGAGAGACCTATTTGTAAAGAAGGTATATTACATAAAATAGTGATAATGAGGAATATCCCTCTTACCTCTACCAAGGGATGCCAGTGGGTTATTGGCTTGCGGGGGTACGCCAGCATTTCATTCCAGTGGTCTCTTCCAAGGCCTTCAGCGTCAAGTCCAGCCCTACAAACTCCAATCACCTCATTGTGTCCCACTCTAGGATTAAAGGTGGAGAACAGAACGTCTAAAGATTATCCACAATGCCACGCGTCCACAAATAATGCAAATGATAGGTAGAGGAGCCACATTCTGCGACAGGAAAAGCTAGATATTTACACCCCAAAGCACCAGGAACATTATATATATATAAATTTTGTTGTTGTTGTTTACTTGTTTAGTCGTGTCCGACTCTTCGTGACCCCATGGACCAGAGCACGCCAGGCACTCCTGTCTTCCACTGCCTCCCGCAGTTTGGTCAAACTCGTGCTGGTAGCTTCAAGAACACTATCCAACCATCTCGTCCTCTGTCGTCCACTTCTCCTTGTGCCCTCCATCTTTCCCAACATCAGAGTCTTTTCCAGGGAGTCTTCTCTTCTCATGAGGTGGCCAAAGTATTGGAGTCTCAGCTTCACGATCTGTCCTTCCAGTGAGCACTTAGGGCTGATTTCCTTAAGAATGGATAGGTTTGATCTTCTTGCAGTCCATGGGACTCTCAAGAGTCTCCTCCAGCACCATAATTCAAAAGCATCAATTCTTCAGCGATCAGCCTTCTTTATGGTCCAGCTCTCACTTCCATACTTATTGGGAAGATTAAGGCCGTATGCAACCTTGTATACACTTACCTTGCAGTATGCCCCATTGAATTATATGCGGCATACTTCTGAGTATACGTGTATATACTCTGTGTTGATGGTGGTGAAAAGCAGACACAGCACTAAATTTTAATCAACCAAACAATCATTCCAATTGCGCTGTAATGATGCACTGCCACATGTTCTGCTTCGGCAAAGTGTCAGCATGAACACATCTCCGTCTATCCATTATGTTTTGCAGGTATCTTGACAACAGTGGATTTTCTGTGCTATACTGTCTGGCACACTTTCAAATGTGCCCCTTTAACATTTATTATTTTTGGTGAAAAGCACCATTAGCCCCAAGAGCTAGATCTACTGGTATTTTACATTTAATAAGGAAAGATAAAGAAATAAAAGGCTCCTTAATATTCAGGATTCTGAAGCAAGCCTGCACAGCAGCAGTTTGGTGGGAAGCAGGGCTGGCTTCCTATTGAGCCAGTGTGGTATAATAATAATAATAATAATAATAATAATAATAATAATAATAATTTATTTATACCCCGCCCATCTGGCCAGGCCTCCCCAGCCACTCTGGGTGGCTCCCAACAGAATATTAAAAACATGATAAAACATCAAACATTAAAACTTCCCTAAAGAGGGCTGCCTTCAGATGTCTTCTAAAAGCCAGATAGTTGTTTATTTTTCAGTTTTTAACCTATTGTGAAAGTGCCTACCTACTTGCCATTATTTTTTTACTTATCATATGTATAAGTGTAATGGGTTTAGGGGTTGCTTGTGCGTAAGTTGCCGCCACTCCTGGCTAGGTTACCTGGTTGAACCCTTTCTGACTGGACAGCCTCTAGCTTCGTGGCTGTCTCAGTCGCTGGCAGAATCCATCAGTGGGCGTTTCTTGAACTTCTTCCAGCACAAAAGTTCTTTGACGCCTAGTCTCCGCCTAGTCTCCCTGCACGGAAGCCTTCTGCGCAGGGAGGGTGTGGGCAGCGGAGTACCCGTACTCTCTCCGCTGGTCTCCGGCGAGGAGTCTTGGAGCCTCCTCTCCGATTCCTCCATCGGCCCCCCTTCTCTACTGGTGTTACGCTGATTTCCTTCCCCAGCAGATGGGCTGCCTCTCTCCCTACTGGGACCCTCTCCGGCATCCCTCTGGAGCCTTCCCTCTGCCTCTAGCTCCGATGGCAGTTCTCTGACAATAAGGCTGCCATGCGCTCTCTGTGGGGCTATCCTTGAGGTTGGTCCAAAGACTGGCATACACTCCAACATCTCTCCAATGAAAATAGGGACGTCCTATTGCATAATGATAATTTTACTATTTATACCCCACACATCTTACTGGGTTGCCCCAGCCACTCTGGGCAGCTTCTAACATATATAGAAACATAACAGAACATTAAGCATTTTTTTTAAAAAAAATCCCTATACAGGATTGCCTTCAGATGGCTCGGGGGTCGGATAACTCCATACCCTCCAACATTTCTCTAATGAAAATAGAGACATCCTAAGGAAAAGTGGGACATTCTGGGATCAAATCAGAAACCAAGACAGCTTCTCTAAATCAGGGATGTCCCTGGAAACTAGGGGCACTTGGAGGGTCTGGATTGGTGCAGAATATGGTGACTAGGTTGCTTGTGGGGGTAAACTACTGCCAGCATACTATATAACACCTTGCTTGTTGGGCTTGCCTAGGCTACCAATCTGCTGTTGGGCAAAATACAAGGTTTTGGTACATGCAAAACTGTCTACAGCTCAGGAGCAGTTTACTTGACAGACTGCCTTATACCTTGTATACCCAGCAAGTCCCTGCTTTAGGTCAGTATAAAGATAACACCTGTCATTATTATTCTTACAACAACAACAACAACAACAACAACAACAACAACAGATTACTATAGCACCTGCTCTTCTTGAACATCTCTGAGTAGGACAAGCTCAGCACCCACGCTGTTGTGGATTATACTCTGCTAGCCAGATTCTTCTCTGATTTTTTGGGGAGTGACCACAGTCACTATGCCATAGCAATCCCATTACTGCTGTTTGTTAGTTGTTGTTGTTGTTGTTGTTGTTGTAATAATAATAATGACAGGTGCTATCTATACTGTTATAGACTCTACAGGCATGGCAGGCTAGTATAGCACAGTCTGTCAAGTAATCCGCCTCCTGAGCTGCAGACATGCCTTAGCATTACTCAAAACCCAGCATTTTGGCTCCAGCAATTGGTAATTCCCAGCAAGCTCCAACAGCTGGGTACTAGGCATGCTGCCACACCAGTACCTAGTCACCACGACCAACGTCTCTACTTCAGGGGACACTTGATTTAGAAAGAACTTAGTTATTTCCGACTTTATTGTCCCACTTTTCTCTTAGATGTTCTATTTCTCACAGAGAAATGCTGAGGTGCGGAGTTACCACTTTCGACACTGAAGGCAATTCTGCATAGCATTTTTAAAAAAAATCCCTACTTACAGGATCGCAACATTCAGATGGCTCGGGGGTCGGATAACTCCATACCCTCCAACATTTCTCCAATGAAAATAGAGACATCCTAAGGAAAAGTGGGACATTCTGGGATCAAATCAGAAACCAAGATAGCTTCTCTAAATCAGGGACGTCCCTGGAAACTAGGGGCACTTGGAGGGTCTGGATTGGTGCAGAATATGGTGACTAGGTTGCTTGTGGGGTAATCTACTGCCAGCATACTATATAACACCTTGCTTGTTGGGCTTGCCTAGGCTACCAATCTGCTGTTGGGCAAAATACAAGGTTTTGGTACATGCAAAACTGTCTACAGCTCAGGAGCAGTTTACTTGACAGACTGCCTTATACCTTGTATACCCAGCAAGTCCCTGCTTTAGGTCAGTATAAAGATAACACCTGTCATTATTATTCTTACAACAACAACAACAACAACAACAACAACAACAACAGATTACTATAGCACCTGCTCTTCTTGAACATCCCTCCCCCCCAAAAAAATCAAAAAAGAGAAAAATGCAGCATACCGGTCATAGTCCATAACAGCGATGGAGAGGCTGACTTGGTCCACATTCTCTGGAGGGATGTCAAAAACGATGGCCTCACTGTATACTGGATTGAGAGTGTTTTTCTTTGTAGTTGTTTTTCTCTTTTTCAGGCGCCGGCCATCGCACATCAGGGACACTTTGACGTATGGATCTGAGATAACAGGAACAGAGGTCAACACAACTGGGTAGGAGGACACCAACAGTTCTTACATAGAAGGGAAGGAAGGTTTGGTTCCACCACTAATGCAGAGGAAGCTGCCTTATATGAAGTCAAGACATTGGTCTATCTAGTTCTGTCAACACCAACTGGCAGTGGCTATCCAGGGTTTCAAGCAGGGATCCTTCCCAGTCTGAGCAGGAGACACCAGGAATTAAGTCTGGTACCTTCTGCATGCAAAGCCTGTCTCCTATCACCAGTGTACAGTAGCTGATGTGCTCAACAATGGCTGCTAGGCATGATAGCTATGTTCTCCCTTCAATGGCTGCTAGCCATGATAGCTGTGTTCTCCCTTCCTTGTCAAAAGACATTATGCCTCTGGATACCAGTTGCTGGGAATCTCAGGTGGGCAGAGTGCTCTTGTGCTCATGTCCAGCTTGCAAGCTTTCCACAGGTATCTGGTTGGCCACTGTGAGAATAGGATCATTGGCTGATCCAGCAGGCTTGCCTTATGTCCTTGTATCCAGAAATGACACCCATTTATTCAGGGTGGTGAAAAGCCCAACATGCCAAACCAGGTTCAATGTCATTTGGGGTGCAGATTGTCACTCTTTTTGACTGGGATTCAGTCACATCCCTGCAAGTTCCAGTGGCTTAATTAAAAGTGGATTTGGTGCTTTTGTGAGGCCACCTCCTTGAAAAATTGGACCTCCCCCCCCCCACAATAAAGAGTGATGGGAAAATGCACTGGAACGGGTGTGATAAAGACTGTGTGGTGCAACTGAATTCTTGAAAGACCTACACTGGCTCCCAGTACATTTCCGAGCAGTATACCTGAAGGAGCGTCTCCACCCCCATCGTTCTGCCCAGACACTGAGGTCCAGTGCTGAGGGCCTTCTGGTGGTTCCCTCGCTGCGAGAAGCCAAGTTACCGGGAACCAGGCAGAAGGCCTTCTCGGTAGTGGCACCCGCCACATGTCAAAGAGATAAACAACCACCAGACTTTTAGAAGACATCTGAAGGCAGCCCTGTTTAGGGAAGCTTTTCATGTTTAACAGACTATTGTATTTTAATATTTTGTTGGAAGCCACCCAAAGTAGCTGGCGAAACCCAGCCAGATGGGTTATTTATGGGTTTATTATTATTATTATTATTATTATTAGTACTGTCATAGACTGGCTAGATGCAGAGGAGCAGTGGGAGGCACCAGCAGGGCAACCGCCAGGAGAAGAAGGCTTAGATGCAGCAGCAGGCAGCTACCATGGCAACAGCAGTAGGGGGGCCAGGGCTGGTGGGCAAAAGTGGGTTGTCTGAGGACAGCCGTGAGCTCTGCCAGTCTGAGTGCCTGCCAGTGTGGCCCCACCCCAGTGCCTCACCACTGCCACCTGGGCGCCAACCAGCCTGTCTGAGAGGAAGGAAGGGGGAAGGTGCCACCACTGCCACCCACTGAGGAGGGAGGAAGAGGAAGGCAAGAAAGTGCCTCCCAGGCTCTGTTCACCCTTTGTGGTCTCTGTGGGCCCCCCTCTGCCCAGTCCACCGGGGGATGCAACACTTGCCCCACCCTGGGTGACGACAACCCACACTATGCCACTGCAGAGTAAGGTATGGCATGAGGACTCAGAATCCCAAACAAAACTTGTACTAATCTGCACCAAGACAAGCAGAAGAAAACACAAAACAAATGGAGACTTCCGGGTTGGTGCCTCCGGCAATGGCAGAGCTCCTCCGTTCGGGAGGAACTTGCTCCGTGAAAAACAGGGTCTGACCGCCACGGCGAAGGTGGAGACCCATTGAAACCACAAGCGGGAGAAGCTTGTGAACCTGGGATTTGGCTGGCACCTTTTGCGCCTCCCCTACTCACAGGGAAACCCTGTTTTGGGGATCCGGAGCGACGTGGGGTGAGTGGCGCGGTGCTTTGAATCGACTGCTTTTTTCACGGAGTGAAGCCGCATTGCTGTTGCCGGAGAGCGCTGACTTTTTCCTGTGGACAATTGGATTTTAAACAACTACTCGTGAGTAAAACGGAAAATTGGATTCTTAAATACTTTAATTCGGCACTGAAACGGGAAGGTTATAAACAGGAAGTCCGCCTCCCGTTTTTGTAAATAGACTGAAGCAAAGACGTTACAAGTTAAAGCCTTTGAAAGCTTTTGGCAAAGGATTAAATTTCCACCGGTTTAAAATACAAAACCCCCCTTGGAAGCAGGAGAAGAGGGGAAATTTTGGATCTAGTGAGCCTGCAGGAGAGAGTGAAAAATCAAATTACCACTGCTCTGAACCTGGGAACGGGCTGCCAGATGACGTTTGGAGAGAGTGCATTTGACAGAACGGATTTGACAGCTAGCTAAATAAGAGTAAGATACTGTTTCCATTGTCCTTTTCTGCGTTTAAAAAAGAGGAAAAGTAACTGAAAATTTATCTTTAATGCTTGAGTTGTGCCTGAAAGAACTGATACAAGTGGAGACTGTTTCCCTCTAGAGGGAGCTTTTGAAACTGTTACAGGAGTGTAACTGGGGGATTTCCAGCTGCAGATAAGGATTCTGAGAACCAGAGAGTGACCTTGGACCATTTAAAAATGTTGACAGGAGAGGCCATTGTGACTGTTTTATGTAAGATAAGCTGTTCGCTGGGACAGCTTCACAAGAAGATGGATGACATGACTTTCAAAGTTGATAATTTGGAACAGAAAGTGACCAATTTGAGTCAAAAAGCGAACACCAACACAGAAATAATTCAGGACTTGGTACAGGAACCCATTTTGGCAGGACAAATGGTGGAGGAGGAGGAGGAGGAGGAGAATGCTGCTGTTGTTGAACATAAAATAATACAAGTGAGATCTGTGGCTTTACAGAAGCAAATTGAGGACTATAAGTTGAGGCCTTTTATGATTGAATCTAGGAAAAGTCAGACTCTGAGGAATGGATCCCGGCTTGGATTAAAGAAGGAAAGTTGGAAAGAGCCCTCTATGCAGGGATTAACTGACTTTTGGGACATGGACTCGGGCCTGGAGGAGATTGAAGTTTTGGGGGCCTTTGGACTTGGAGGAATCTTGAAATATGCCCTGAAATACTTTATGGACTGTAGCTTTAACTATGGAAATTTAGCTGATCTGTTCAGAAGGAAGAAAAGGATTGACAGGTTGGAGTTTCCCCGAGATTTGCTCTTTAGCATTAAAGAAAATGAAGAAGACCTGCAGAAGGGACTTGGAAAAGAGTTAAGAGCCTCGGACATAAGATCACCAGGTTGATGGACTTTATGGAGTTGACAGAAAGGACTGGCAGAATCCAAAACCAGGGAGAGGAGAGGGTGAAAGAAGATTGGAAAATTTAAAGTTTATATATAGACATATGGTAAAACTAATGAGTGATAGAAAAATGGTGGAATGATTTTTTATGGGCTTAGCAGAAATGTTATAAGGAGTTAAGCATATATAAGTATTTTAGTTTTAATGGAAAATAAGGTTAAAAAATACGTTATTTACAATATGATAGAAAATGGAGAAAGATGGAAAGGATTTGCTGAAACAATTAATAGAAGTGGAATACAAAAAGGGAGGTGAGAGGAGGTCGAGGAAACAAGGGAATGAAAGATAGAGTAAGGAAAAGGAATGATGTATGTTTTTAAATTGTTTTTGTTTTGTTTTATTTATGGTTAAGGTTAGGGAGTGGGGTTTGTTTAGTTTAGTTTAATGTGTTTAGTTTTGAGTTTAGGTTGTTTTGTATTGTCTATATATTGTATTGTATTTTTTTTTCTTTTTGCTTCTCTCCTTTGTTTTTTTTTCTGTTTTTTTTCTTTCTTGTTTTTCCCCCTCTTTTTGTAATCTATAAAAGTAATAAACATTATTTTAAAAAAAGAAAAAGAAAAAAACACACAAAACAAATGGAAGTGTGGATAGCAAACTAATTCAGCAAACTAAACAGAACATACTTCTAAGTATGTATGTATAAAATTAAATCCTAAAGCAGCTGCAAAATGCACAAGTTAAGAACATTGCTAATGGCATTTGTAGTGCACTAAGTGACATTTATCAGGAATATGTCAAGGTCTTGGAATGAGGAAATAAAGCACATGATGGTATTCCTTTGTTTGTTATCCGGAAGCTAAAATGACACAGAGTCTCACACATTGTTTAAACCCAAAGCAAACAGAGGGAAGGTTTCATCTGGGCAGAAGAAGGGTGTCCCCAAGTACTTTTCCAGCTCAGAGTAATCTTCCTCAATCAGTCAATCAATCAATCAATCAATCAATCAATCAAAGCATGAGAAGATACAGAATTCCTCTCTCTCCCTTGAATCTTTTCCCCTGCTCAAGAAAAAGCAGCTTGGGGGAGGCAATTTTGAGCTGTGGGTGTTGGGAACTGACAGGAAAGGAGAGGGCTAAGCAGTTGCTTCCACTCAGACTGTCTATTGTTTTGCTTTTTGTTTTCAAAAGTGAAGGAAAGAAACATAAGAGATCCACGTATTGTTTAATTCTCCTCGTCTGTGAACTCAAGATCAAATGCCCTGAAATCCTGATGGTAAGAGCCCTTCCCCAGAGAGTCATCACCACCCACAGGTGAAGCTAAGCGAAAAGGAACATTGCACTTACCTGATGAGCCAGTGATGTCCATAGCTTTAAGATTTCTGCATTTGATGACTGTGAGGGTCATCCTCCCTGCTGTTGGCAAATAACAAAGGGAAAACATGATCTCCCCCAAATCTATGCTTTCCTGAAAAAACAAGCACAAACAAAAACATAGGTTATAACAGGGATGGGCCACCTTTTCCAGCTTGAGGGACACATTCCTTCATGGGCAACCTTCTGGACAGGGGGACCTCCACGCCAGTGGTGGGTGGAGCAAGGGGCAACAGATGTGGTGAACATCAAGGCTGAGGCTACTCAGCATGCCCTGATTCTTGATCTTGTGTTGAACAGCTAGGAGTTCATGGACTCCACTGATAGCAAGAAGCCTGAATGCCTCAAAAATCTTGGAGTTGCCATTGAAAGGAGGAAACTGCTCCTGATGAAACAAGAAACTTGGGTAGGCACTGGAGAACAGGGGCAGGTCAACTATTTCTGGGTGATTTGTAGTAGATTAGCCAGGGGGAGGCCAGGACTTTCTGCTTCCTCCAGTTGTTTAACGATAGCAACTGCAAAAAGAACCTGCGGGTGGGGGTGCTAAAGTAGACTGCTGAAAGAAAGGTTTTCATGGGGGCAACCATAAATGAATATTTGGGTGAAATGACTCTGAGCTCAGTTTTGGCAAACAATATAAAATTTCTGTGCTGGCCCCATGAACAGATGCACCCTGCTCCTTAATTCTAAGTGTACGTCTCATCCCACCCCCTACACCACTACTTTGCACCTGGTTTGGGCTGGATGTTGATGATTTAGTAAAACCCCAATGTAGAGCCCACAGGTTTGAAGGCTGCAAACCTTAGATCAGTGCTGGGGGCCTGCTTTGCCTGTAGAAAGGCCAGGTTCGGTCCCTGGCATCTCCAATTAAGTGGATCATATAGAAGTGGTGCAAAATAATAAAAGGTCTCCGCCCAAGACCCTGGAGACCAGGTGCCATCCAGAGTAGGCTGAGCTAGCTGGATAACTACTCTGACCTTTGTTACTAAAGCTACAGAGAAAGCTTTGCTTGCTGCACACAGCAACTCTTTTCCAGCTGAAAGGTTGGAGCTCTCAATCCGTGCTTCTTCTTTTTCCGCGAAGCGGCAAGGTTATTATTTAAAATTCTAAAAAGCAGTTCATTACCAGCAAATCAGGATACAGCCACAGTAAGCCACACACTATAATTGGCCTTGTGTGTCTCGGAGAGCTGAAGGCACTTGTACTAATGTCAGAAGGCAAGAACAGCAATAATGTTCAGCTGCATGCGTATTAGCAGGTCTCTAACGATAGTGTTCTATTTTAGAGGACAAAAGTCTTGCTCAAAATGAAGCACTAGATGATCCTTGAGGCTCCGTATAGGGTATGATGCTCTCACTCTTTTTTGCATGCCGGTGGGCCATTTTGATATTTTTTAAGAACCATCAGATGTAATTTGAAAGCCTTGCAGTCTGAAGTATTTAATGTGATGCAGTATTTACTTAAGGCGCAGGAGTATCAAAGGATATGGATAAAGTTGCAGTGTGGCATGGATTAAAGTTGTAAGCCTAGCCTCTAAATGAGTAAGCTCCACTGAATTAAATGAGACTTACTTCTGAGTAGACCCTTAAATTCACAGCATTAGGTTGGGCTGACACCTATTTGTATGTTCTAGAACAGGCATATCAATGTCGCACCCCTATATATTTGAGGAGTGCTATCTATAACAAAACTCTCCCCTTCTTTTTGTGTACCGTTTCCTCCATATTCAGTTCAGTGAAACACTGATGTAGTATCTCAGAGATGCTTAGAGCAGTGGCTGGGAACCTGTGGCTCTCCAGATGTTGCTGGACTTTATTTTAAGAATAACTGAAGAGCAGCTCTTGGTGGCTACTGGTTGGCACTTGTCATTCTCCGCCTCCTTGAATGCCCCAGTAACAGTGCGTTGTTTCAGGGCATATGTGTGTGGTGGTGTCATTTTAAAAAGTGGTGGTGGTGAGGGACACCATTTTCTCCCCCCAAAATGACACACTGCCTTCAGCATTTGAGAGTGAAGGGGAGAGGGAGGTGGCCATCAGTCAGTGATTGCCAAGAGGGATGTCAGCTAAATCCCATGAGAACTTGGGACCAAAAAAATTTGAGCATCCTGATTTTGATCAGCAGGATGTTGGAGGGTATGTCATTGTATTAATAGAACTCAGAGCAGCAAACATACAAAGGCTAAAAGAATTAAAACACCTAAAAACATATTTTAAACAATTCCAGACTGGGACAGATCTTTGTTTAAAAGGCTTGTTGAAATTTCATACATTGAAATGAATGGACATGACTAACTTAGGTCTATTAATTTCAGTGAGACTGCTGTGAGTCAAACCAAGTTGTACACAACCCTATTTTTTGTATATCTGTTTAATTGTCTAAGGTCCATTCTATGGCTTTTCCTGATATTACGTTGTTACCTGTGGCACATTTATTTCATCCTTGAAGATCAGTGTGACATTAATGTATTGCTTTCTTTTTAGATAGCCTGGAGTAAATTGATTGATTAAAAATCATGATTTCAGGGGCAGACATTTCTAATGTGATCAGAAAGAGATTATCTCTATCCTGCACACATCCTGCTCCCAATGTGTAAAGAGCATCATACTCCTTGACTACCTCAAGGACATTTTCTTTCATGACAGACTCCATGTCTGTCCATTCTCATTGACATTGTCCATTCTCCTTCACAACATGCAACTGAGAAGCCAAAGGATGATGGGCCATTTTTTAATGGTGGTGACTGGTTCAAAGGTAATGAAACAAAAATTAGGAATAGATGGACCGTTTTTTATAGTGGGAAAGAGGTATACAATGGACCCCATAAAGATCTGTACTGGGATCTACAAAAGGTGCAGACAAATGATCAAGGAGATGGACAATTATTCCATGAGGAAAGCTTACAGTAGTTGGAGTTATTTTTATAGCTTAGCTGGGGAAAAGGTGAATAAAGGGAACCATTTTAGGGTTGTATGAAATTATGTATATTGTGGAGAAATTTGATAGGCCTAACTTCTCCCCTGTCATAAAACTAGAACCTGGGGTCATCCAATGAGTCTGAAAGTTGGGAGATCCAGGACAGACAAAACAAAGTACTTTTTCACACAATACTTCTTCATGGTGTGGAGTAAGGGGATAGGTATAACTAATCCCTCTCTTGTAAAATAGACAGTGTTTAGTTAAAGCAGTGGAATTTGTAGTGATGGCCACCAACTTGGACAGCTTTAAAGGGGGATTAGACAAAATCATGAGGGTAGGGCTATCAATGGCTGCCTGTTATGATGATTGTGTACTACTGAGGATCAGAAAAAGCATGCCTTTTAAAACCATCTGTTGAGAGGACAGGAGCCTGTGAGCTTCTCAAAGGTATGTGGTTGGCCGTTGTGAAAACTGAATGCTATCTGAACTAACAGGACATTTACTGTATTTTTCTCTCTATAAGACGCACCAGACCATAAGACGCACCTAGTTTTTGGAGGAGGAAAACAAGGAAAAAAATATTCTGAATCCCAGAAGCCAGAACAGCAAGAGGGATCGCTGCGCAGTGAAAGCAGCGATCCCTCTTGCTGTTCTGGCGTCTGGGATAGCTGCACAGTCTGCATTCACTCCATAAGATGCACACACATTTCCCCTTACTTTTTAGGAGGAAAAAAGTGAGTCTTATAGAGCAAAAAATATGGTATGTTCTTATCTGAGATAGGACAGGACTGAACATTCTCCTCCCAGCTGTAAAGTGCAGGATATTTACCATCTTTCTATCTGGCAGTTATTGATGTGGGGAAAGTATGCACCTGAATCTTAGTATATTGGTGAAATGATCTTTGTCCTACAAAGTACAATGCTGTCGAATAATAATTCATGATCTTTTTATATCACGTATCACATTTTGAGATATGCTACTTACTGCAGTGGCACAATGGATGTCTTTCCATACTGTGGCCTCTCTAGAGAGATCGGAGACCTCAAAAAAGTTATCCAGAATGACTTCTCCAATCATATCATGTCTAGAAAATCTGTCAAAATCATATACACTGAAATGTAGTTTCCTGTTGCAAAGTTGATCATAGGCTACAGGAAACTGAAATGTTTCATTGAAGACAGGGTTTAACGTCTTTCTGTGAACCCGTGTCTGAAACTTTTTTTTCCTGTCTGGAAGAAGGTAGATTTTCACATAGGGATCTGATGTACCAGTGAAGTCTTTAGCTGGTAGTTCCAAGGCTTTGACAATGGTAACCAAAAGCATCTCATTTTCATAATCATACTTAAGGGTAAAGTTGAGTTTCCCACAAGTTTTCACATCCTCTTTCTGGCCTTCTGAATCCACAGACTTCTGTTTATAAAGTTCCGGTTTTATCCTTCCAATGCTGGTAGTTGTCTCCCCTCTTTGTAAAACAGGATCTGTCCCCATGTTAAAATCAATGCTGGACACCTGCATTTGCCTTGGCAGATGCCTCCTGAAGGAATTGTGCCTGCATATGCAAAGACAAAGAAATTAACACTGATAATCTCAAAGGGAAAGAGAATAACTTTCATATAGCTAAAAATGAGAGGAGTAAATCAACCACTCACATTTAACAAGTTTCCATTATTGTTATAACTCTCTGGAGAGAACAATTACTAACAACACTAGGTAATCCAGGAAGATAATTCAATGATTCAGTTCAAGAAGAATCTTGACAATTTGGAAGACAACAACAAACAACAGCAGCAGCAAATATAGAGAAGAAGAAGAGGAGTTTGGATTTGATATCCCGCCTTTCACTCCCTTTAAGGAGTCTCAAAGCGGCTAACCTTCTCCTTTCCCTTCCTCCCACACAACAAACACTCTGTGAGGTGAGTGGGGCTGAGAGACTTCAAAGAAGTGTGACTGGCCCAAGGTAACCCAGCAGCTGCATGTGGAGGAGTGGAGACGCGAACCTGGTTCCCCAGATTACGAGACTGCCGCTCTTAACCACTACACCACACTGGCTACAAAAATTACAAAGGGTTTAGAAAGCAAATCCTATTTGGTAGACTGAAGGGAATGGCCATGCTTAACCTAGAAAAAAGAATCTTGATGGAAAATGGGTACCCTATTTCTGGTCAGTGTGTATTAGAGCAGCAAAAGGCAAAAACGAGAGTGTCAAGTTGCTCAAGAGAAGCTGAGATCCATGGCAGAGACCACTGAGGAATGCTGATATGTGAGAGCAGGGATCAGCAAACTTTTTCAGCAGGGGGGCAGTCCACTGTCTCTCAGACCTTGTGTGGGGCTGGACTATATTTTGAAAAAAGAAGAATGAATTCCTTTGCCCCACGAATAACCCAGAGATGCATTTTTTTTTAAAAAGGTCACATTCTACTCATGTAAAAACACCAGGCAGGCCCCACAAATAACCCAGAGATGCATTTTAAATAAAAGGACACATTCTACTCATGTAAAAACATGCTGATTCCCAGACCGTATGTGGGCTGGATTTAGAAGGCGATTGGGCTGGATCCAGCACCCGGGTCTTAGTTTGCTTACCCATGTGTGAGAGAATGTATTGGACATAATCTGTTCCCATCTCACAGGCAATTGTTGGCTGCTACAAATGATAACCATTACAAGAGAATTAACCAGATAAGATCTCCAGGGACAAGGGTGCAAACCTGATTTTTTTTTTAAGGGGGTGGGAATACGTCCTGCCCTGCATAATCAATCACATGACAGGGCATGCATACACCATTTGAATGGCAATGCCCATTGACTTGGGGGGGGGGCAGCCCCCTTGAGTATTTTATTGGGGTGTGTGTGTGAAGAGACCTTGGCCCCTAGGAGCTGGTTCCTATGTCCAGGGATGATGAGAGTTGCAGTTCAGTGACATTTAAGAATTCTGGATCCAATTCATTAATAAGATGGCTATCCGTATTAATTTGAAGCATTTCCAGAAACCTGATTGTGCCACAAACCCCACAAAGCTCCGCTGGTTGCTTGATGGTTAACAACCTAAAAAAGAGAGGAAGCCTTTCTTTTTTAATATGCAGAAAAGGATGAGAATGGAAGCAGGAGAAGATCAGTAGAGGGCAGGTTACAAAGGTAAATATTCCACTGCTGTTTAGCCGGATCTGAATTCAATAAGGCAGGGGGGAACAATGTTCAAGTGTTCTGTTGAGTACTTTGCCCTGTAGATTACCGTATTTTTTGCTCTATAAGACTCACTTTTTCCCTCCTAAAAAGTAAGGGGAAATGTGTGTGCGTCTTATGGAGCGAATGCAGGCTGCGCAGCTATCCCAGAAGCCAGAACAGCAAGAGGGATTGCTGCTTTCACTGTGCAGCGATCCCTCTTGCTGTTCTGGCTTCTGGGATACAGAATATTTTTTTTTCTTGTTTTCCTCCTCCAAAAACTAGGTGCGTCTTGTGGTCTGGTGCATCTTATAGAGCGAAAAATATGGTACATTGCTTAATTAAAACATTGTTGGTTTTTTAACAAAACCCTGTACTTTTTTATTTTTGCAAGGACATATATGTACTGTCATTAAGAGGCAGTTTTTCTGCATGTCCCCTGTTATCCATGCATGGGGAAGGTAGCTGTACCTGTTTAGCACTCTTCAGGTTCTCCATTTTTAGAGTGCACTGAAATAAAGAAGAGACCCAGCTGTGACACTCGCTCTTTCATACCGGGAGTACAAATTGTCCATGAGGAAACTATTGTGTTGTACTTCATGAAAAAGCACTCTTTCCATTTACACCCAGAGTGTCTGCTAAATGGAAAACCCTCAAGTACTGTAGCCATCTTTTGTTGAACAGGAATGTCAGACTGAACTAAGCGGAAGCCGCGCAGATGTAAGCCTGTTTACTCCCACTGTCTCTTCATCACATTTCATCCGAGTACTCTGACTGCATTCAGATGCAACAATCAGCTGTGGTTTATCAATATGTAAATGCACTCTGGGCTTATGCACCCATTTCATGTATTTATTACATTCGTATCCTACCCCAAGGATATTAAGGTAGTGAATACCCCATTTCTTCTCCCCGACAACAACCCTGTGAAGTAGCTTAGGTTGAGAAGGAGCGCATTTAGCATCCTGGAATCAAATATGTAATAATATTAATTTAGTTATGTCTGTTTGTATAGTCAGGCTTGTGGAGGTAGCTAGGAGGGCTTTATCCATCTTTGGCTAGCTGTGGCCTTACTTAGAATAGATGGACCTGACCTTTGCCATTCATGCCCTAGTTACATCCATACTGAACTACTGCAATACCACTTGCTGGAAGCTGCAGGAGGGGAGAATGTTCTTGTGTTCAGGTCCTGCTTGAAGATTTCCCACAGGTATCTGGGTGGCCATTGTGAGAACAGGATCCTGGAATAAATAGGCCATTGGCCTGATTCAGCCGGCTCTTCTCATGCTCTTTTGTTCTGTGTTCTGTGTGGCTGCAGAAGCTGCAGTTTGTCCAAAATGTCGCTCATGAACTGGGCCATAGAGTGTTGAACCTATGCCAGCTATGTTTGTTGTCTGTTTCAAGTAACCAATCTGAAGGCTCAAACTGAAGGGCTTCTTTGAAAAGTCCATGACAGCCCAGGGCCAGGTTACCCCCAGGACCATCGTTTGCCATGTGACCCTGACCTAGCCCTGAGAGCGGCACGAGAGGGCCTATCCTCTGTCCTATCTCTGCTGAAAATATGATGGGGTTTTTGGGTGCTGGCACTCAAATGATGGAATGCAGTCCCTGGGGAGATAGAATCACAGAAGGTGGAAGAGACTACAAGGGTAATTTCTTCCAAGCCCCTGCAATGCAGGAATCTTTTTGTCTGATGTGGGGCTCGTACCCATGATCTTGGGAGATGCAACAGGCTCATTCTCTTCCTGTTTTCAGCCAAGTGGAGAACTTAACGCTCTGCTGTTTTAAGTTACCTTTGTTTTAGCCTGTCCACTTTTAGCTTTTACCAATTAGGATTCTTTACAAATGAGACCAGCGCTAACATGGTGCACTGTGGTGTGTTCGTGTTCACTGTTTCAGTCTCTCTGTCATGGTCTGTTATACTCAATCCCATTCCCTCTCCCACCTGATTTTCCATTCCTCCCCCCTTTACAGTCAGGTGGTACTCCATAGCTGCTGAGCAGACCCTCTCTTCACTGGGTCTAATTTTTGGACTTCTGCAAACTTACTGTTTCCCAAAGCCTGTGGATACTTACCTTTTGTGCATGGACGGTGCTATTTTCATGACATAAGCAACACTGGTGCCAACTTTACGGGGTCCTGGGTGCCTGGGCCTTGGAATCAATGTCTGAGGCCCTGTCAGGCTTCAAATGTGACTTCTGGTAGAATCCAGAAGTCATGTTGGAGTCCCCGTGAGACCTCTGGCATGAGCTCTGAGGCCCCACAAGGCCTTGGGAGCACTTCTGCGTCACTCTGACATAATGTGACATCATGATGTCATGACATCACATTACTTTGTGGGCACCATTGGACACCCATAATCTGGGGCCCAAGTCGGCGCCCTTGAGAAGCAACAGCATTCATGTCTGGACATTGGAATAATGAATATTTTGCAATAATAATAATACTACCACCAGCAGCAGCAGCAGCAGCAGAGGGCAATCTCTCAGTCTGAGCCATTGGAATGGGACAGACTATAGATTAAAATAGCAAAAGTCTTATGATTATCTTTCTTTGATGATGATATGGGAGGTGATTCAACTGCCATCTTCAAATATCTGAAGGGTTGTCAGATGGAGCAAGTTTGTTTTGAGCTGTTTCAGAGGGCAGGACCTGAACCAATGGATTCAAATTACAAGAAAGACGAAAGAAGAACTTTCCAACGGTCAGAGCTGTTTGACAGTGGAATGGACTCCCTCAGAATGGACTCCTTCACTGGAGGTTTCTGAACAGATGGCCATCTGTCGGGGAGTCTTTAGTTGTGGGTGGCTGCATTGCAGGAGGTTGGACTAGATGGCCTTTGGGCTGCACCTTCCAACTTTTCAATTCTATGATTTTATATTGCCATAGTCATTTTCAGCTGCCCTGTTTCTGAAACAGTAACCGTACATCTGTTCACCCCCTGCTTTTTCCTTTCAAAGGAATGTGAGATGTCTTTTCCAAGTTGCCAAATGCTCTGTTAAAATTCAAAACGCCCATTTCAAAATACAGAATGATGTAATCACTAAATTGCCATACCCTCCCATCTTTTGAAGTGCTGCAATGTTATATATGCCACTAACAGTTATTCCCAGGCGGGTGTAATGTAAAGTGGCACTTTCGCTCTAGTAAGCCAATGTCCCGATGCCACGGCAGTTTGCACGGGGTCCGAGTCACAACATTTCAGTGATAGGGCTAATTGATGCGTTAATTATTTAAATGCGTCGTCATTCCCATGGCAACATGGGAATGCTTTTCCGAGTCTGCAGGATCAATGGGCCTCCGTGTGACTGCTGTGCCGAAGTATCAGACGCGCCACCAATTAGGTAGCTGGG